TTTGAGTTACAAATACAAATACTGCTTCCATAAAAGTATTTAATTACAAAGTATTTGAATACTTTAAAGGATTTGAATACTAAAAAGTATTTACAAAATCGAATACTGCTCAGCTCTGATTATAATACAAGATTACGAAAGGGTAGAAAGACCATAAGAAATATTGTTGATGTTTGCGAATAACATTCCTAGAATTAGGAGTTGCGACTCGAAATTTTGCTCTCAAGTTCCTGTTAGGGTTGTCTCAAGTTTGCTCAAAATTAATTTTTTTTTTTTTTTTGTATAGGTGGGGAAATGCACCTTATGCACACTCTGCAAGGAAATTCCAGAGTAGTGTGGGGCTCTCCCGTTTGCTGGGATTACCCACTAAAACCCCACCTAAGGCTTCGGCTGCTGAGGCCATTTGCCTATCGCCCTATAGACAAAGATACAGACGTACAAGACGAAACAAGAACTAGGCAACATTTACGTACATACTAATATCACAGATTATCACAGTTCATTCAAAATTCCGATACCTCGTATGAATCTTAATATTCTTTGACAGCAATCCTGACTAGAAAAATTGGTTTCCCATATCACATTAATTTTAAAGAGATCGCGCTCGTTTTGGTACGCTGCACAGGTACAGAGTATGTGCTCAGGTGTTAAGTTGGCACCACATCTATTACACAAGGGTGGTACTTCACCCTTCAGCAAATAACTGTGCGTTAGAGCAGTGTGTCCCAACCGGAGCCGATACAGCTTTGTCGAGTGCAACCGTTCCACGTCTAGTAAAAATAGTGGCCCAATATTTGGTTTAACTCTTTTCAATGATGTATCGGTCCGCGTCCACTGCTCCTGCCAGCGCTCGTACACACTTCGCTTCACAGCCACCTTCGTGAGGTCTACAATGTTACCGTCCTGCAAATGTAACTCCTCCATACATTGTCTTGCTCTTTCTCCTTGAGTTTTATATAAACGTGTAAGTCTTGTTCTATTAGTCATTAAATTATAATTCGATGTTTATCGTTCAGACGTACTTTCAGATAGTAGTTGACTATTAACTGCTTTCGACGAAGAGCAAGCGGTAGAGTATTCGCTTCGACGTTGAGAGCACTGACGGGACTCGTGGGAAAGGCCCCAAGGGAATACCTAATTGCTAGGTTTTGAATTTTGTCCAGTTCACTCAGCAACGTGGAATTACATGTAGAATAACTATAGCACCCATAATCAATGCGTGACAGGATCAATGCCTTATATATATCGAGAAGGGATTTAGGATGAGCCCCCCATTTGAGGTGTGATAGTACTCTTAAAACGTTTAACGATTTCCTACTTGATGTTAGTAGGTTCTCCAAGTGCTTGGTCCATCTTAATTCCCTATGAAATGTGAGTCCTAAAAATTTAATTTCGTTGGGTACACTTATTACCTGACCATTTAAAAACATTACAGGGTCATAATGAGGTTTACGAAGCCTACAAAAATGCATCGCTTTGGTTTTTTCCTCAGAAAGCATATACCCTACTGCATCTGCATTTGTAGCAATTTGGTTGATGGAACCTTGCAAGTTACGCACTACACTGCCTATAGTTTTTCCAGCAAGGCATATCATCAGGTCATCGACATATAAACATCTGTCGACTTGTTCAGCAACTCCTGAGGCTATTTCGTTTATTGCGATTGCAAAAAGGGAACAGCTTAAAGTTGATCCTTGTGGCACTCCATTCTCTAAAATGTATTCCTGGGAATAGGTGTCTCCGATTCTGACGGCAAACCGCCTATCTTCTAAAAAGGAACGTGCAAACTTGGGTAAATTACCGCGTAGATTATATTTTGACATATTCCTTAGAATTCCATGCCGCCACGTCATATCGTACGCCCCTTTAATATCAAAGAACACCGCTACCAGGTGCTCTCTATCATCGAAGGCCCTTAGGATTCTCTCACTCAGTTTGACCAAGTGATCAATTGTTGACCTGCCATGCTGAAAGCCCGTTTGATATGGTACCAAGATGTCGTTAGTTTCCAAAAATGATTGCAGCCGCCGGTTCACCAGTTTCTCTAATAGCTTACCCAAACATGACGTTAAACTGATTGGGCGATAGTGGTTTGCCGATAATGAATCCTTTCCTGGTTTGAGTATGGGAATTACAACAGCCTTTTTCCATTCTGGAGGGTAAGTACAATTTTCCCAGCATTTGTTAAATAATATTAAAATTTTTTCTTTCATTTCCCGACTACAATGGCGGATCATTTGATTATGAATTCCATCGTATCCCGGAGAGCAAGATTTGGTGCTCTTGATTGCTGACTCCAGCTCTTCATACGTAAACGGTAGGTTGTAATCTAAACTTTCTTGTGTTTCAAAATCCACAAGATTTGCTTCCTCATTAGCTTTGGTTGCAAGAAAAGTTTCTGAATAATTTAAGGAGCTGCTAACTTGAAAAAAATGGTGCGCAAGAATGTTTGATATTTCCTGCAAATTGTTGGTCATTACCCCATTTGAATTACGGATAAATGCCGGATAATTACATCCAGTTTTACCAGATATAGCTCCAATCTTTCTCCATATTTCATTGGTGGTAGCATCGGGTGTAATGGTGGATACATATTGTTGCCATGATCTCCTTTGCGCTTCCAGAAGTTTTCTACGACACTCCGCTCTTTTTTTTTAAATTCAATAAGGTTCTCCAATGTAGGATGATGGCGGAATTTGTGTAATGCTCGCTTCTTTAATGAAATTTTTTCTCCTACTTCGGGAGACCACCATGGGACCATTTTAGTCCTTTTGTGACCTTTGGATTTTGGAATACTAGCCTCCGCTGCATCCAGAATGGAAGATGTAAGAGTTTGAAGACTAACTCGCTCCTCATTCGGGACTACAAGGTGGGTAACAAATCTTTCCCAATTAGCTTTTAAAATTTTAAATTTAACCACAGACCTAATCGCAGGATTATTACCTCGTACTGTAATAATTATTGGAAAATGGTCACTATTGAACAAGTCACTTTCCACTTGCCATTTTAGGCTAATGTGGAATGCGGGCGAGCATATTGACAAGTCAATAGCATCAAACGTACCTGACCTTATGTTAAAGTAAGTTGGTGCGTTGTTATTTAAAATACTGAGGCTTTTATCTTCGAAAAGGTCTAGTAATTCTTTACCACGGGCATCACTTGAAATTGATCCCCAAACAGTGTGGTGGGAGTTAAAATCACCAACAAGGATAAACGGTTTGGGTAGTTGGTTAGTGATTCTTCCAATTTCTCCTACATCATAGTTTGTATTGGGTAGATAAATGTTACACAGCGCAAAGCTTCTTCTCATTTCAAGTTGTATTGCTACAACCTGATATTGGGTATTTATCTGTAACCTTTTATACGGAATGCCTGTGCGGATTGCAAATGCTACTCCGCCACATGCCCTTTCAGGTGAGTAGAAATCCTTCCTTAATAGAGTAAAACCTTTCATGTTAAATTTATGTCTTACTTATAGGTGCGTTTCCTGGAGAGCTATAAAATTTATTGTTTCCCCATCAATGGAAAATTGTTGTCATTTTCACTCTTCTGTTTGTCGCCCTGGCTCTAGTTTATAATTACTTGCCCCTATCGGATTTTTATTATTGATTTCAATTGTTAAGCGTAATGAGATTTAGCGACTGATTGTGAGCTCCCGAATTGGCACCCCCTGACTCACACAGAAAACAATCACCCGTTGCTTTAGAGGGAATTTAAATTTCGTTTGCAGTACTGCTTCTTGATGGTGCTCAAGTTTGAGCAAGAAATATTTATTGATCGATTTTATCGTATAGAAACGGAAATAGCACACATGATAGAATCAACAACGAAAACTTCAAAGCAAAACTTTTGATTTTAATTTTTAGTGGCAACAATTTATGATACAACAAAGTACATTAGAGATATTACTCAATAGGTTTGTAATTACACATCTGAAAATGTATTTTTTTAGCGTACGTGTTGCAACGTGATATTATTACTTACATTTTTCAATATCTTAGATATTTATCGAACCAATTTTGAAATTTCCGAGATATTAGGAAACAAGGAACTTGTTTATTCTGAACTACAGTCAATTAATTGAATTTTGAATATTTCAATTAATAATAG